TCAGCTGTCCCCAGAGGAGGAGGAAAAGAGAAGGATCCGCCGGGAAAGGAACAAGATGGCAGCGGCCAAGTGCCGCAACCGGCGGCGGGAGCTCACCGACACGCTGCAGGCGGTAAGTGCTTCCCGGGAGGCTGAGGGCGGGGGGGGGAAGGAGGGGAAGAACCGGGCGGAGGGAGGGTGATAAGGGGGTGGGGGACGGGATTCCAGCCGGGGGTGATGCCGGCCCCTGGCTGATAGCCCCGCTCTCTCTGCAGGAGACTGACCACCTGGAGGAGGAGAAGTCAGCGCTGCAGGCAGAGATCGCTAACCTGCTGAAGGAGAAGGAGAAGCTGGAGTTCATCCTGGCGGCCCACCGGCCCGCCTGCAAGATGCCCGAGGAGCTGCGCTTCTCCGAGGAGCTGGTGGCTGCCACCGCGCTGGACCTGGGCACCCCCAGCCCCCCCGTGGCCGAGGAGGCCGCCTTCACCCTGCCGCTGATGTCTGAGGCGCCGCCGGCCGTGCCGCCCAAGGAGACCGGCGGTGGCGGGCTGGAGCTCAAGGCTGAGCCCTTCGACGAGCTGCTTTTCTCCACGGGGCCACGGGAGGCTTCCCGCTCCGTGCCTGACATGGACCTGCCTGGGGCCTCCTCCTTCTACGCCTCGGACTGGGAGTCGCTGGGCGCCGGGACCAGCGGTGAGCTGGAGCCTCTCTGCACCCCTGTGGTGACCTGCACCCCTTGCCCCAGCACCTACACCTCCACCTTCGTCTTCACCTACCCCGAGGCGGACGCCTTCCCCAGCTGTGCTGCCGCGCACCGGAAGGGCAGCAGCAGCAACGAGCCCTCGTCCGACTCCCTCAGCTCCCCCACCCTGCTGGCCTTGTGAAGGGGGCTCCAGCATTGACTGACCTGCCGGGCCCCCTTCCCCTGACCCTCCATCTTCCCCCCCCTCATCCCCCCCCCCACGGACTCGCCGCTGCGCCCCATGGGGCTCCCTGGGTCCAGGGAGGGCCCTGCCACCGCCAACCCCCCCTCCCCAAATCTGGCCGGGTGCCCTGGGGCCTGGCAGAGCGCCCCGAGGCCTCGTACCTCTTCCAGAGATGTAGCAAATCGCATGGAGTTTGTCTCGTCCCCAATGGCCCATCCATGAGAGCTGGTAGTCTGTAGCATGTCCCACATGGCTGGGTAGGTGACTCCCTCCCCTCCTTAGTATCACTAGCATTAACTAATTAATCTCTTGGTTTTAAATGATTGGAATTTAACCTGGTGCTGGGTATCTCCAACTCATATCTAGTGCAGCTGATTAACAATAACTACTGTGTTCCTGGCAATATCGTGTTCTGATGACTTAGCAATGACCCATCTTACGTGGGGGGAAAGAGACTCTATTTTATTTTCTAGTAGGTAGATAAATAGCTATATCCATGTACTGTAGTTCTACATTGATGTTCATTGTAACTTTACTGATCATGCATTGTTGAGGTGGTCTGAATGTTCTGACATAAGTTTTCCATGAAAACGTTTTTATTGTGTTTTTAATTTATTTATTAAGATGGATTCTCAGATATTTATATTTTTATTTTATTTTTTTCTACCTTGAGGTCTTTTTTGACATGTGGAAAGTGAATTTGGATGAAACTTAAGCATTGTTTGCTTATTGTTCAGAGACATTGTCAATAAAAGCATTTAAGTTGACTGCTGGAGTTGTCCTTGTTACCTTTTGCATCGCTTCCCTGTGACCCTAAAGGGGTTCCCCAGCCTCTAATTTAGGCTGGGCTTTATAAACTGCAGACACTGGTGCTAGCTGCCTGGGGCATGGGGCACACCGGGGTGGGAAGACCAGTAAGGCCAGACCTGTCCTTGCCCTGGTGTTAGTCAGGGCTGGCTGTGGTTACACCCTTCCCACACATCCTGGTGGGCACCGGGGTCACTCCTTATGGCCTTGCCCATCAGATCTGTCTGGGTCTGGTCCCCTTTTGTGCCTCTGCATGTCACCTGCTGTGGCCTCTAGGGGACAAGCTGTGGAGGCCTTACTGGAAAGGAGGGGAAAAGGGCAGCTGAGTTCATGCCTCTGAATGGGGGAGGCCACCTCTGTGCTGGGGCCCACCCAATCGTTTGCATGTGCCCAACTTCCTCCTGCCTGGGGAGGAGTGGATTTGTGCCCTGCCTGCCCCTGGGCTTGGCCTGGCACCTCTAGGAGCAGCTATGGAGCATTGCCTTCTGGCCATGAGGGGAGGAGACAGGCTCACACACTTTCTTCTCGCTTTGGGCTGGGGCAGAACACTAACCTGTCCCTTATCCCTTTTTTTCTATTAAAGCTAGCCCTGTCCTGGTATAAATGTGAGTTGGGGCAAACAGCCCATGTACCCTGGGAACGTGCTTCCCCCGGGGTTCTGTGCAGTGTGACCTCTCCTGCCTGAGTTAGTTGAGAGGGGCTGCTACCCCCTGTCATTCCTGCTGTGTGTGCAGTGAAATGTGTGCCCCCCTGGCAGGACAGCAGCTCGGGGGCAGGTCACCCCTGCCTGCAGGGCACTGCTCCCTCCCTAATGCTCACACACCAGGAGTCCCTCAAGAGCATCGAGGCCCTCCAGCTTTTGAGAACTCCTTTCTCAAGGTGGAGGCAAAGACGCCACCTGCTCTGGCACGTGTGTCCAGCATGAAGGCCACCTCGACGCTCCGTGCTCAGGTAATCTCTGCAGGCTGGAGGTTCCTCTGGAGTTCAGGGCCGGGTTTGTGTAACTCCTTATTTCCTGGTTGCTGCAGCGGGCTCTGCTTTCTTCACCCCTTCCCTAATCAGAACACGCACAGGATGTATCTCATCTCAATAGGGTGTATTGCAGCTTCACGGCTTGCTCAACAAGGCCTGCCCTGTGCAAAAGCAAATATTACGCGTGCGGCTTCCCGTCTTTCAACATGAAGCTGGAGGCTGTGCTGACAACTGACAAAGAATGACCCCGCTTGCTACTGAGATGCCACCCACGGAGAAACAGCTACTTTCACATCGCCGCTCGAGTTTACAAGGGCACCACCCAGGCGCAGCAGACGCACGGCAGTGCTGACCCCTGAAGCAGTCATGTAGGTGTAGCTGCAAGAGAGTGAGGCTTACGTGACAAGTAACCCCGTGAAGTCAGTAAATCTGGAATCACAACGGGCGTGAAGTCAGTAGCTTTGCACAGTGGCAGTATCGCAGCCAATGAGGTTAATCTGAGGCGCAATTATTGCTAATTTAATTTTTTTCAAAGAGTCGTTTAGATGCGGTGTTGGGGGATATGGTGTAAGGGAGAACTTTGTACAGTGGGGTTAATGGTTGGACTCGATGATCCCAAGGGTCTTTTTCAACCTGAACGATTTTATGATTCTATGAAATCTGGAATCACAACATGCCTTCTGCTGAAAGACCATCAGGTCCAGAGCTGGAGAATTCAGAGGTCTTACGAGATCCTAAGCATGCTGTTGAAATCACCAGATGTTCAACAGAGAGGCAGAAAGGAGCAGGGGCCTGTAGAGAGTCCCCAAAATACCATACAATCTGCTCAAAGCAGGTGGAGTAATTCTGGCCCGCATTATCTCTCATGATGGCTGGACAGGTTGAAGCAGAACCAAGTGCTGAGTTCTGAGGGACAGCAGTTCCACAGCCTCACCGAGGCTTTTCCTCCTAACAGCACTGACAAGAAATGCTGAGTCTGAGTGTCAGCTCTGGCATTTATTACGCAATGATGTCAAACTCAGGGGTGGCACTACAGGAGACATGTTATGTTTAACCCCAGGCTCCAGCCCTTACTCTTTGCCTTCGGTCTGGGCTGATCCAGGATGCTGGATGCGTTAGATAAAACGTATGGCGTGTCGTGGATACGATTTATCTGCTTCCTAGCATTTGAGAACTCCGTAGCAAAACCTCACTCAAGTCGGTGGGAATCCCGCCACCAACTCCAACGGGGCCATGAGAGGGAGTAGCACACCAGGCTCTGCTTGGAACGGGCTACCCGCCTGTGTCTCAATTACACGCTGTATCTGATACATCCCACAGATATCGCTACAGAGCTTTGTGAAACAAAACAATGGGATGAGATAAGGCAAGCAGGTAACGCTCGCATTATTTCTGACACCTCCTGCGCTCCTGAGGGCAGCCCGGTAATTAATTCTTAGAAATGAAAACTGCAACACAACGCAACTGGAAGAGTGGACTTAAGTTATTGCGAATTACAAAAAGCAGAGCTGCAGAACAACAACACGAAGAGCCTTCAACACGTTCAGAGTAGAAAGAGAAGGGCTGCGCGGCAAAGCAACCCCGGGGGACGGGAGGGGGCTGCGGATCTCGGGATCGCCTCGACCGCCGACGGCAGCCGCAGCCGCCACAGGCTGCTCTGCGCCCCCCGCCGCCTCCAGCGCTCCTGCCCCCGGCCGCAGCGGCGGGGCGGCCCCTCTCTCCCCGCAGAGGCCCGGGCGCGGGGGGCACCTCTGCCGATACCTGAAATCGCCGCGGCGCTCCCCAGCGTCGGGCCGGCCCCAGTTGGTGTCGCCCGTTCCCCGCGGCCGGTCCCCGCCGCGCCTGCGCGCCCGCCGACCCCTCCCCGCCGCCCTGTTTACTGTTTGGTTGCCAGGGGCGGCGGGGGCGCGTCAGGGACGTGACGTGACGTCCCGCTTCCCCGCGGAGGACGCTGCGAGCCAACGCCATGACGCAAGCGCTTCCGGCCCTGCCCATATATGGCTAAAGCGGCGGCGCGCCTTCTTCCCGGCCGTTGGCGCGTGCGGCGCTGCGGCGGGAAGATTCCAGAAGAGCCCGGGGGGGGGACGGTGGCGCGCGAGGGTTGAGCCGTTGGGCGTTAACGACTGGCGCGCGGGGCGCGGGGCCGCGTCCCTCAGCGCCCTCACAGCCCGGGGCTGCCCTGTCCCGTCTCCTCTCCGGGGGAGGCGTGAAGCCAGCGGTGGCCGAGCTCCCCGCGGGTGGGCGGGTGTGGTGGGCTGGCAAGGCAGCGTGGGCTCTGGCTAGCCCTCCTCCGGCGGTCCCGGCCCCTTCTGCGGGGAGGTGGTGGTGGTTGAGGTGTCAGGAGAAGGGTTGGGAGCCTCCCTGCAGTGCTGGGCGCTGAGCTCTTGCTGTTGTTAATTGGGCTTCCCAAGCATTGCACCGCCCAGCTGGAAATCTCCACGGTCTGCTCTCGGCGGGAAGAATTGACCTGTGATGGTGAAAAATCAGAGGTGATATATTTCAACTTAAAAGCCAATTGACTGAGAAGTGGTTCTCATTCTCTGCTCTGGTGAGACCCAACCTGGAGTCCTGCATGCAGCCCTGGAGCCCCCAATGTAAGAAAGACATGAGCCTGTTGGATCAAGTCTAAGAGGAGTGCCATGAAAATGATCAGAGGGCTGGAGCACCTTGCCTATGGAGACAGGCTGAGAGAGCTGGGCTTATCCAGCCTGGAGAAGAGAAGGGTCAGGGGAGACCTCACAGCACCTTTCCAGTATCTGAAGGGGGCCTACAGGAAAGATGGGGAGGAACTTTTTACAAGGGCAGGTAGTGATAGGATAAAGGCTTCAAACTGGAAGAGGGTAGATTTAGATTAGATACTGGAAAGAAATTCTTCTCTCTGAGGGTGGTGAGACACTGGAACAGGTTGCCCAGGGAAGTTGTGGAAGCCCCATCCCTGGAAGTGTTTGAGGTCAGGTTGGATGGGGCTTTGAGCAACCTGCTCTAGTGGAGGTGTCCCTGCCCATGGCAGCCCCCTCCGTTGGAACTAGATGATCTTTTAAGTTCACATCCAACCTAAACCATTCTAGGATTTATTTTAATGTTATCTCCGTGTGGAGTTTGATGAAAGAAAATAATTATCTTTTTTTTTTTTTATTGCACTTGCAGTATCAGAGCTACCCTGTGAAGCCTGATTTCAGTGTAGCTGGTGACCAGGCACCTGTATCCTTGAACACTTGTTCTGCCGGTTCTCTTGTCATTTATTTTGTTGGCTCCTTGCCAATAAATCTGGCTCTTCTGCTTTCAGTCAAAATAGAACAGGAAGCCTGCCAAGAAAAGTTTTCAGAGCCAGTGGACAGTCAAAAATAAATGGATTGTTCAGAGAAGGTAAGGTTCTAGAAAAAAATTGAATTAGTATTTTGTTCTGTGCTCACTGTGGTGGAATTTGGGAAGATTCCTGTGCTTTCACTCAATTTTGTGAAAGATTTATCAGAGGGTATGTCTCAAGCTGAAGTGTCTGTAGAAAAGGTTACAAAACAAATAGCTAAAATAAAAAGCGCTGAAGAGTTGGGCTGAATGATACTCATCCAAGAGTTCTAAGAGAAGTCAAGATTTAAATAGCTGAGCTGCTTACTAAGGGTTATATGTAACATCTCATTTAGAAGCACTTTGATAACAGAGAATGGGAAGATAGTTAACATGCCAATTAAAAAAGCAGCTAGAAGAGTTCAGGAGAGCTGCTGAGCAATAAGCCTGTTATCTGTATCAGCTAAGTTAATGAAAACTGAAAAGGTGAACTAGTGGGTCCAGGGAGAAAATGGTGTACCAGGAAAGCTGGCAGAGGTTTTCTGAAGAAAAGTCCCAGCTTCACATGTCGCTAGGAGTCCTGTGAGGAGTCAGCAAAGCATGTGGACAGGAGAGATTCAGCTGATGTAGTCTACTTGGGTCTCTAAAAAGCATTAAACAAAATCTATCAGCGGAAGCTTCTGAAGAAATTGTGGAGTAAGGGGAGAA